TGGTTTTTTTGATGATAAATTTCCGGATTTCTACAATAATTGCGGGCCCTTTCTGCCCAATTATTTTCTGGATAATATTGAAGTTTTTTTTCCCAAAATTTAGTGGGGAAAAAATTTTTTATCCCATCGTTGACAGTTTTTTAACCGGGGGAACCTTTAACATTTAACTTGCCCTTTGATATTTCCCAAAGGGTGTACCGGGGTTAGAATAACACTTAAAAAATTTTTAAATCGGGGTTTGAAAGCATCTTTAATTCTCATTTTTTACTATTTATTTAATTTATTTTGTTTTCTGGCATAAAATATGAGTCGCCACTATGGGATAAAGTTAAAACGCATTAAATTCAAAAAAACCTTTTTTAAAGTTTGCGGCCCTTTAATTTAAAATAAACCCGGAGAAATATTTTTTGGAAAGCGAAAAACGGGTATAGAAAAAACTTTTTACCCCCAACCTAAAAATTAAAAGCCTAAAATTTACCGAGGTAAGCTCTGTGATATAGGAAAAAAAAATATAAAATAATTCCACGTAAGGTAGTAGAACAAAGTTTTTAAATAATATTAAACCCGCAAAACTTTTTTCCCAAAAAAAAAACAAAACCCAAAAAAAAGAATTTAAAAGGCCCCAAAAAACCGGGGTCTTTAAAAATTTTTCAATTTTTTTTCCGTTCTTTTTATTTTATTTTATATTTCTTTGTGGCCCAAGGGTTTCCAAAAGATTTCGATGAAGATGATAAAACCCAAATTTTTTTCTTAAATTCCCCCCTTGCCCACCCGGCCAAACCCTTTAAAAACAAAAAGAGATAAAAGTTTTGTAAAAATGTCGGTATTTAAATTTTTTGGGCAATTTTCTTTTCTAATAAATTAAAAAAAACGTTAATAAAAATCAAAAAGACCCTTTCCAAAAAAAATTTTAAAAAAATCCCAAAACTGGGGAATTAATTTTGAAAAAAATGTTTAATTGGTTTTTTTTTCTTCCCCGGTAAAAGGGTTAAACAAAATTTCCAAAAACAAAAAATTTTAAAGTTTTTTAAAGAAAAATACTTTTGGGCAAAAGAAAAGTAAACAATTTTTTCGGAGCATAAGAATCTTTTTTTAAAAGGGTTTTCACTTGATTTAAAAATGGGAAAGGTCATTTATTTAGTTTCAGGTTACCTTGACTTTTATAACGAAGTACATGAGTACATAATTCTGAAAAGGTTTACACATGATAATACATGTACAAGGTCCCTTTAATTTCAGGTTTTTTCCCCCGGGTTTTAAATTTCCTTTTGAAACTTTTTTAACAATTTTTTAAAATTTTAAGCAATTTAAAAAGTAAAATCTTTTAAGTGCCCCGCTACTTTTTTGTCCTTTCACATACTTATTCCAAAAGTTTAAAAGATATAGTTTTGAAAAAACTTATCTTGATATCCCCAAAATCATAATCTAAATATTTTCCTAATCTTTTTTTTAATTTTCAAATCTCGTTTTGTTCCAGCAAACCGCTTTAAATTTTATTTTTAAATTTTTAAGGGGTTTTTTCCAAAGGGCATTTTTTGATATGGAAGAAAACCCTTCTTTGTAAGGAAAGTAATTTGGGGAAAAAAAGGGACTAGCACTTTTTTCACCCCCTAATTAAGGGGTTAAAAATTTTTGGAATAAACCGGGTTTTTTTAATATTTTTAACGAAGATATTTTAGATTTGACGCTTCAAGCACATTTTAAATTGCAAAAAGATTGGTTTTTAAGAAAAGCTTGTAAACGAAGGTTTCCCCTTGTCCCGTAACGAATTTCACCCTTTAATAAATTTGAAAACCCTAAAAAATTGAAAAAAATTAAAATTTATACATTTAAAATTTACCTTCCATCGGGGTTATCATATAAATACAAGTTTCCAAAATGTTCGTTTTCCTTTGGTTTTTATCAAAAATTTTTTATTAAAAATTTTTTATACCGATAAAAATTTCTTTTACAAATTTTTTTTATAGGAGAATGCACGTGAGCAAAAAGTTACTTCCGTTTTACAGGGAAAAATTGTGATGTAAAAAATTTTTTATTTTTGATAAAATCGGTTTGGGTTAAAACGTAAATTTGGTCATTTAAGGGGAACAAATTTTTTTAAAATGTCTTATCATGATTTCCGGTTTTTTTATTTTGTTTTTTTAATTTTTACAAATATAATGGGAAAATTTTTCATTTTTTAAAATAATTTTTTCATTTTCCAAAATTTTAAAAAACAAACCAAGGGACAACTTTTCTGAAATCCAGCTTCCGACGCAGACATGTAATTAACTAGTGCTTTTTTGGAAAACCCGGCATCAAACCCTGAAATTTCAGCCCGCTAATTTCCCCTGGTTAAACCCCGGCTTTGGGGCTCCCCCCGGTTTACAAAAAAAAAGGGAATTTTTTGAGTTTTGCCAATTCCCCTTTTTTTGCTTTTTTGGGGCGGGTTAAAAAGAAAAATTTTTTCCCGGAAAAATTGGCTAAAAAAACCTTAAAAATTTTTAAAATTTAAATTTCAGTTTTGTCTAAAAATTTTGTTTTTTTTGGAAATTTAAAAAAAAAAAATTTTTCCCTTAAATTTAATTTTAAATTTGAAAAAAAAAATTTTTGGGAAATCGAAAAAAACACACTTGCAAACCCAAAACAAAATTCTACTTGTTAACAAAACCCTTTTTCCGGGAATTTAAAAAAACTGCGAAAATGAGTTTTCAGATTTATTTTCTTGGTTTCCCTTTAAAAACAAAATTGGAAATTTATTACATTATTAAAACATTTTTTTCTTCATTCCTTAAACTATAACAGAAAGAATTTAATTGTAAGGGGGCTGCAATTTGAATAAAAAATACGTTTAGTTTTATTTTCATGAAAAATTTTACAAATTCGAAAGCACTTGCTTACATATACGGTCACAACTTGCTGTTTCCCAGTTCCCATCAATTTTTCCCAATTTTTTAAATTTTGTTTGCCCGGTTTCCCGGAAAGAGAAGTCCGGGCTGGCCCGTTTTTTTTTTCTTTTGATAAAATTTTTTGGGGGGGGGTGCCAAAGGGACAGTGAGTGGGAATTTTACCATTGCTTACCCGGGTAGGATTTCCCCAAAATGAAAATTTAAAGGGCAAGGAAAAATTTTATTAAAAAAAATGAGACCCTTTTTACTTTTACGTAAAATTGTTTTTAATTCCCTTTAAAAATTACCAAGGGAAAAAAAACAAAAAAATTTAAAAATTTTAAAATTTTAAAATGTTTTTGGTAAAGGAAAATGTCCTTTTTTTAACAATTTTGTGTAGGCCCCGATATTTGATCAATTTTAAAAATTGGGTGGATTGCAAAACTTAGGGGAAAAGGTTTTATTTTTTCCCCATCAAAATTTTTATATTTCATATATTTTTAAAAAATGCGTAAATTACAGTACAACACTTAATTGTACATGATGGTTTTAATATATAATTATTGTAGACAAAGGTTCTTAAATATCGAATGCACAAGACGACCTTTAACGACTTTTGCAGAAATATTCAAATTATTTGTATTCACATTTACATCAGTTATTCATATAAAAACAATTTATAAACTGTTTGTTTATCCTATGGATTAGATCAAATTGTTTAATTAATTGTATGATACCGATAAAAATTATTATTTCAGAATCGCCTTTTGCCATCCGCAGACTGCACATGCGCAAAATACTTCTTCCGTTTTAAAGGAAAGATTATAATGTAAAAAAAATGTTTATTAAAGGTAGTTTTTCTCAATTTTGTTTGATATATTGGTATTTAGACCAAACCGAATACGTATGCGGATCTATCTGAGCCGGGAACAATTATTTAAAAAACATACTGCCCTCCAGCTTTACGACTTGTACACACACAAACAAAATAATAGAATTCTTTCATTTCACAAATACGAAAGCACTTCCTTACATATACGGTCACAGCTTGCTGTTGTCCCAGTTTCCGTCAATTTTACAAGTTATTAAATTTTCATTTGGCTGGTACCCGGATGAGCAAGTCACGTCTGCTGTATCTAGATACTTATAACTGCCAGGAACAGTGAGTACAATGTTACCTATTGCTTATTGGATCAGGATTGCCAACAAAACTGAAATGAAAAATTTATTGGAATTTACATCAGTAAATTGTGATTGCCGAGTTAATTGTTTGATGTTGTGAAGAAATCAAAAATGTAAAGTGTTTCTTTTTCCCGGTTTTTCAAATGTAGAATCCCTATTAAAAAAATTTTTTCGGCGGGAAAGGGGGAAAAGTTTTGAAATCAGTTTAAAGTGATTAAATTTTAAAATATGTAAAAGGTTTTAATTTGTTTTTATTAAAAAAATTTTTATTTTTATTTAAATTAATTTTATTAAAATTTACGATTTTAGGCAAAAAAAAAAGGGGGGTTTGTTACAAAACCAATAGGTTCACAGGGACGGGGTTCCCCCGGTGCTTGATCCCTTTTACACAGGTAAACGTATAGACGGAGTCCCCCTGGTTTCCCCTGATCACAGGAATTAACGCCCCTTTTTTAAGTTTCCCCTTTTTGATCAATAACAATTTTCCTTGCCTATTTTGGGTAACCCTTTACCCCAAGCTTTTAAATAACAAGATATATAAAAGTTTATAAAAAAAAATGCACAGAACTTAACATAAAACCGTATTTTATTCTCCACTTACGTAACGTACTTTTAGCTTGAGTGGGAAAATTCATCATGTGCTTAAGGCTTGCGATACCGTTATTACGTTCTTTGTAAGAGAATCAGAAGGTTTTGCTGATAGCAAATTATCACCAAGACCTTTCTTTGCATACCGCAACTTTGTAACAATTTTACAATTACTTAACAATAGCATTCGCTGCTAAGGTTATAGGAGAAGCCTGATATTATAAATTAAGAATCGATATTGTTGCCCTAAACTTGCAAGCGGCAACTGACTCTAACCTACAAGACAAATGCAGACCAAGATAAGCTGGCACGTCCGTTTTTTCTATAAGCATGGTTAGTAGAAATGATTGTAGACGCACTAACCTGATATACATTCTGCTGTTTGGCTCCACTGACCATTCGCCAAGCATTCAGCGTTCTCCTTGTTATCTCGTACATTCAGTCCGCTGTTACAGTTATACTTTATTTTGCTTCCAACTTGCTTCATGTTTCCCTGTATTTCTCCGTTCAACAAAACCCCATCATCCACGCATTCTTGTGTCATAAAAGTGAGACAATATATATTTGCAGTAACTACTTTTAATCGGTTGTTCTGTAATGTTCTTTAAATATGTCGACTTTTATTCAAACAAGAAACATTTATCGAAATATAATTAGATATTTTGGAAGAAGTTTTCTTGTAAGTGGGACAAATAAACGTGTGAGGATAATAAACAAATGGGCACAAAAATAAACACTGAACATCATAAGAGTGAAATGTAAATTAATGATTTAGCTATTATACAATCATCCAAACAAAGCGAACGTTAAATCGTGACAGTTCTAAATATTATTGGTACTACTGATAATCCATTTATGTCATTCCTCTTTCGAGAACGTAAACATGTTTGTGGAGTTATTTTTAAGAACGATAAGGGAACAAATATTTTGAAAAGAAAAAAAGAGAGACTGAACTATTAAGGTGAGACATGTGAAATGCTGTTCATGGCTTTATTGAAAGGCTGAAAGGTAAGGAGAAAGTCAAGATAAAAAATAGTTGCTAAGTGTTCCAATGATATACAGTCCATGTAAAGAAATTGGCTTCATAAGATAATTTATAAAGGTATAGATTTCCAATCATTCTTAAGTAAGATGATATCTCATGAAATATTCATTAATCGCAGGTAGCTTCAATCGATATACTTTTAAATGATTGCTAATAAGATCTGGTATGTTGGTACTCAAGCTAAATACCCTAACATGTTAATCTTGTACTAACCTTTGTGCATGCATATCTCTGAGGAAGTATCACAAGTTCGTTCATTTGAGCAGTCTTGGTTTGCACAAGGATTCTAAAGCAAAAAGATTATATACATGTATCTATCATTTTATATTGAAATGGTCACAAAATGAAAATTAATTGAGATGAGCGAATATTAATATATAAAAAAAATTTGCAACATATTTATACTGATGGACATTTTTATATATCTTACATTCGGTAAATTGATGATGCTTCTTTCACATGAGTAAACATTTAGATAACTTTAATTCAGATGATGAAGAAACATTTGTTGCTAACATTGATGAGACCACTGATGATTCTGAATACAAGAGGTTTCTCCTTCATCCTGTGTTGTGGGGCAAGGGATCTTGGATAGTAGCTTACAATTACAACGATAAAAAAACAGTCAGTGTATTACCGGTAGGAAATTCCATCTAACTATTAAGCAACTGTAATCAAGTGAAACCTTCATAATTTTTATGAAAGAAATTATTATTGTACACAAAGGATACATGTCTATGTTTTATTTGCTAAACTTTTTTGGTGCAAGAATTTTTTTAAAAAAAATTTTTGATTTTACGAACCGGGGGAAAAGGGAACCATTTTCAGACGTCTAGCAAAACAAACAGATAAAAAGTTTCTGTGAGGTTTTTAAAAAAGGCGCAATAATTGTACAAATTTATCAGTAAATCTAATTTTAAAGGGAAAAGGGCATGCAGGTTTTTTTTAAAAGCATTTTATATTGGACAAAAAACGTTTCTTTGGAAACCTCTTATTTTAAACGTACGTATGACATTTATATTTTTACGGGGCAAAACATTGATTTATTTTTATTTTAAAAAAAACTGCAGAAAATTTGGGAAAAAATTACCCCTACTTATGTATTTGTTTAATATTTTAAAAATGTCAAACAAAAAATAGAAAGGTTTTCCAAAGTAAAAAAAAACCAAAAAACAAAAACAAAAGGAGCATTAAATTTAAATTAAATGTCTATTCGTTTCAAAATTTTTTAAAAAGATTAAATAAAAAAAAAAGGGGAAAAAATATTTATAACATTTAAAAGGTTCTTTTCCCAAAATAGCCCCCCAAGGGCGATATTTAAAAAAAAAAAAAAAATTGCTTTGTAAACCCAAAACAACGACTAGGGATTAAACAATACAATGTATTATACAAAAACCCGAATCTAATTTGGGAAAAAATTTCGAATTATCAAAATATGGTTTAACGGTTTTTAAAAAATATTCCCCCTTTTTGTAATTCCCCTAAACCCCGTTTTAGGTTCCCTGGTTTTTAACCGTTTTTAATGTCTGTATACAAAACCCGGTCCTTTTGGAAGAGGTTTAAAATCAGGGTAAAAAGGGTGATTCCCAAAATTTGGGCAAGATAGCATGATCCCTTTAAGGGGGGGGGAAAACCAAAACATTCCCTTTATTTGGGTTTGGTTTTTATCGTAGAGGCCAATTTTGGTTTCCCCCACCCCTTCATTTTTCAAAAAATTTTTTGAATATCCCATAAACCCCGTATCTAGAATTTTGTATAATTGCGGGTAATGGAAAAGAGGGTGTTTTTTCCTTGTACAAACAAAAATTTTCTCTCATGCAAACTAGCGGGCTCATTTTCCCCTTTCCCTTAAAAGCTGATATCCCTAAAAGTAAACATCTGTTGCTCATTTTTTTATTTAAATGCAAAAAACATTTTGTAATTTTTTTAAAAGAAACTATACTACTACAAACAAACCATTACCCCAAAACTAAATATAAAAATTACAAAAAAAACAAAAAACATTAAAAAAAACAAACAATTTTAAAAAAAAGGAAAAATTAATCTTTTGGTAATAAAAAAAACTCAAAAACGGGCAAGGCCTAGAACCAAAAATATGTCAGGAAAACATTTTTTGGGGGGGACCTCCAAAAAAATTGTTTACAATTTTTTGCTTTGTCATATGGACAAAGTTGACACTGCTTCCTAAAACGAATATAGTAAAATACTTTAAAAAGTGATTCTCTTTATGGAAAGTAAAACAAATTCTATTTTGAATTAATTTTCATTTTTTGCCTACGAACGTTGTAAATTGTTCCTTGTATTAATAGTATTTATAGATAGATGAATGATATAAAGATCACCATGACCCTCTTGTATCTATATTTATTTATTTAGTTGAAAATTAAAAACAAAACTTTTCCTGAATGGATCATTGTGAGGTAATGTATTTATATGTACAAACAAATGAAATACTACTTTTGTTTCTGCTACTGTATATGCTATACAATGTGTTGGACGTGAATTTTTTAAATGCAGCTTCTTGTTTAGATAAGATATGTCAAGGAATTTATGAAGTCCGAGCTCTTTGAAGACAGTATCAATATAATTTGAAAATCTTTAGATGGGGCAATACAATAAGCATTTAAATTCAAAGTCAAATTTACTTTAGTATCTTTAGAGTTTAAAATGTCATTTTGAATTAAATTAAATTAATGTAATTTCAGATCAGAAAATGTTGCCATAATTATAAATCACTGATTGAAAAGTTTCTGCAATAAAAATAAAAAGAAACATAATTGGGGAAATGGAAAAGATATTACCTGTTTGATCGTTATCTCCGATGCAGGAATGAATAAACAACCTTGAATGTGTCCATCCCCTCCGTCAGCGGAAGAAAAAAGTTCACAGAGGTGCTCGCGCCTTCTATAATTGAGAGACGCACAGTGTTGACGTTGTCCGCATTCTTCCACACATCTAGGTAATGACACATCTTTCAGAATTAAAACCATGTCTTTAATTTCATGACATTTTAATTGAAAATTTATATCATAATTAAATACGACTCCTTTTTCATTAGTGAAGACAAACGAATGCACGTGTTTCAGAAATGAAACAAAATACAAAATTAACACAGTATAATATACTTGTTTCATTTTGCAATATTTCACTTGTCCGTAACAAACTAAAGTTGGATAACGGCGATCCGAGGTATGTAACACTATATGATCTAAGTTCGTTCCGTATACCCATGAATATACCATTTAAAAAAATCTATAATCCATATTTTGTAGAAGGTCCAAATGTTGATTCGTTTTCAGGACGGCCAGTTTTACTTAATAAAGAAGACTCTATAGTCTACATGTCTGTTATAAATGTTTCCATTGTAACTGAAGTTTTAGAATTTCATTTTAAGCATTCTCGGAAAAGTATGATTGATTTTTTAATTCATGACAAACTTAACGTCTTAAAGAATGAGTTTGAAAGTAAAATGCAGAAAATTTTACCTCCATTTTTAAGACATGTATTTTTCAATATTAAAAAGATACTGATTTATGTATATAATAAATAAACGTGATTATTGATGGCTAACAAATCTCGTAAAGCTTTGTTATATCGCTTAAAATATAGCTAAGGCACATTGTGCATCAGAAACAAATAAATTTTTACTTCTTTAGAAAGGGCTACCATGAATTTGATCATGTTTAAATAATTTTAGAGAACGTTAGAGTTTTTTTTGTATGAAGAAAGTATAGATAAATGAGAAATAATTTGTCATGAATGTAGCAAAAACTGTCAGCAAAGTAGTAGTTTGAATTTCATGCAAAATACTCATGTACTATAACTGTAATTATTGCTAAACAAAAGACCAATGAGTAACTTTTTGGATACTATGAAAGTACAGCAATATTAATAAAAAGCTTTTAAGAAATAAAAATAAAAGCATTTCTCTGGCATAATCGACCTATAATTTAGCGATGTTAACTACTATTAATTTCCATTTATAACCTTCCATTTATAACTTCATTTCTTAACTTTATTTCATTTGTGTCATTGTTTTATCATTTAAAACACTTTCAATCGATACTCTTAAATTATACTGACTTTAATTTTTAGCTTTGTTTTATCTCATTTATATCATTGTTTCATCACTTAAAATATTTTGATTTGAAAATGTTAAGCTCTATATCTTTTGCATCTTATTTATATCATTGTTTCTGATTTAAAACACTTAAATTTGACACTAAGTAGCATTAAGTTTTATTGATGGCTTTGTTTTATCACTTAAAATACTTTCATTTAGTTATATGAACTTTCATTTAACGTTTTTATTTTTTATTTTTTATTTATTATACTTAACCTTTTACCACATGAGCATATTGTGAAAAATGGCCGTTTTCATTGAAAAGCCTCC